AGAGAGAGAGAGAGAGAGAGAGAGAGAGAGAGAAAGGAGGAGGAGAGCAGAGGAAAGGAAAAGGGGAAAGGAGAAGAAAAATAAGAATAATAAAACATCAGAAGGAAGCCAGGCATGGTGGCCCAGCCTGTAATCATAGCACATGGGAGGCTGAGGCAGGAGCATCTTTGCAAGTTTGAGAGCAGCCTGGACTACAAGGCCAGCCTGAACTGTATACGCATACCCTGTCTCAATAAGACCAAACAAACAAACAAACAAAAAACCAGAAAGAAAGAAATAAAAAATTATTATATATATGGTATAAACATTCACATTGTATCACAAATTAATTCACATAAGAATCAGCATGTTATTAAAAGTAATTACAGTTTAGCAAAGTTAATAGATAAAGGATCAACTATTTTTGGGGGGAATACCAGGAGTTGAACTCAGGACCTCGTGCTTGCCAGGCAGGCGCTGCACTGCTGAGCTACACCCCTGCCAGGATCAACGTTTTTTGTTTTTGTTTTTGTTTTTTTTTAGCGGGGAGTGGTTTTCTGGTACTGGGAATCGGTGTGCCGCTCAGCTAAATCCCCAGGCCCCTAGGATCAACTTTTTAAAAAGTCATTATTTCTCTATACCAGTAAAGCAATAGGAAAATAAGGTTTGGTGCATAATAGCAACAGATACCACACAGCATTTAGGAACACATTGAGCAAGACCTCTATGGAGGGGCTGGGGATTTAGCTCAGCGGCAAAAGCGCCTGCCTAGCAAGCGCAAGGTCATGAGTTCGGTTCCCGGTACCGGAGACAAACCAAAAAAAAAAAAAAAAAAGAAAAAGAAGACCTCTATGGAGGAGAAAATGTAAGCTATTAAGAGAAAGAGAGATCTGAATAAATCAGACATCTGGGGGTTTGTGATTGGTCATTTTAACATTATAAAGAGGCCAGCTCTCTCTAAAATCTATATATTAAATACAATCTCATCGTTGTTTTTATTTGATCATTATTATGGTTATTTAGAAATGCAAACTTACTCTAAACACATATGAATGGTTCACAAGTAGCTGGACCAGCATTTCAAAAGAAGACAAAAAAGTGAACTTGTTCCATGAGACAACAAACCAGGATGATACTGGCGTACTGAAAAAGAAGAATGGGGAAGCAGGTGTGCACATGGCTGCAATCTCAGCTACTCAGGAGGCTGAAGCAGGCGGATTGCAAGTTCAAGACCAGACTGCGCCAATTTAGGGAGACCTTGTCTCAAAATAAAATTGTAAAAGGTTTGGAATAATGGCCAGTGTTAGAGTGCTTGTTTGTGGGTAAAGAACTGGGCAAATCCACCCATCCCCAGTACCACCCAAAACAAACACACAAAAGAACAGTGAGAACAGACCACGGTTCAGAGACAGATCCCTATATATAGGAGAACCTATTATATAATTAAGAAAGGAAAAACCATTCTCATAAATTAAGACAGGAAAAACCATTGGTAGAGGCTCCATATATGGAGAAAAAATTTAAAATGGATTTCCAGCTGATACTACAATAAATAGATTCGAGGTGGATTAAGAATCTAAAACTATGAAGTTCATAGAAGGCAATATAAAAAAATAACTTATGAAAGAAAGTGAGTTCAAGGTACAAAATTTACATGTACATTATATAAAACAAAAAAATTATAAAAACATTATTTGCCAAAGTATCAAATTTGTAACTATGCCTTAAGATTATTCCCTTAGACACATAGGGTTCATGACTCTGGGGCAAATATAACAGATGGCTGTAATTTTACATTAAAGTACTAGGTAAATAGTATGAATTTTTTTTTTTTTTTATGTCAGGGGATATAGCTCAGCAGCACAAGCGCCTGCCTGGCAAGTGCAGGGTCCTGAGTTTGATTCCTGGTACCAAAATAGTATGAATTTTTTACTCCACAAATATCACCACTTTATTTCTTCATTCTACTTTTGCTAGAGTCCATATAAACTCCCAAAATACAGAAGAATAAATCTTATTAATCACCAAGAAATTTATCAATTATAATCTTTCTTTCATATTTGTAACACTTTCAAACTAAAAGAATTGATATTATTTTCCTTAAAATTAGTGCTATGAATCCTAAGCAAGTGGACCCAGAGGAACAGAAATAAATGATTTTGAAAGTAGTAGTACAGTTGTTGTAAGCATAACTGAATGAAATTAAAATGATACTTAACTCAAATTTAATTGAAATCTTAGGTAACTTTAAAAGCTCAGGTTACATTACAATTATTTTATTTTGCTACTGTCAGCTTTCATAAGAGCTAGAATGAATTCCTCAGACTCAGGCTACAAAAAATAAAAACATAAAACCCAGTGTTTGTTTTTAAATACATTGTCTTGAACTTAGGCCTGAATGTAACAGCTGGGAAAACACCACCATTCAAGGCATCATGGGCTGTATACTTAAATCCTCAGAGAACAGAAATTAGATTAGAAATATGTTAGGTACAACACTGATGACCCCCAAATAAAGACTATTTGCTTAATTTAAAAATCCATTCATTTTCCACTTCCTTTCTGTATCACCCTACTCTGAACTGAACCTTTCATTAGAGCCAGTAAAATCTAACAAGTTAGTATCATACAATCTACTGAATTTGTTTAATAATTAAAACATCTTTTCTCTAAGCCTTTTCAAATTGCCTACCCCCAAAAGCTACCTCCTATTTTACAAAACTATGAAATCACCACTAAAGGGTATGATATAGTAATCTACAGGTACTGTAAGTATATTAAGTTAATAAACTATACCTTGAACAACAACCTGGCTGCCTGGGACAAAGAACTGCTGGGTGCCATCAGCTGCCTGCGCTGCATACTGTACAATTGTAGCACTTGGAGGAGGAGCTCCTGAATTTGTCATTGTTAATGCCTGCAGTCCCTGAACACCTTCAGATCCCGGGTTAGAAATCTGGATTGCTCCACCTTGGGCTATAGCAACTTAATAGAAAAAAAAAAAAAAAAAGAAATATTAGAGAACTTCCAGTTTCACTTTTAATAATGCCATATTGGGAAATATACAGCAGGCTATGTATTACCATTACATCTCATTCTTAAGTGACTCTTATTCTTTAAAGCTAAATTGAGAAAGAACATCAACTTCTTTGCGGAACAAGACTTTTTTTAAAAGCTTATAAACACTTGAGTGTTAGGTATATTCAGAACTTTCTGACATTCCTAGAGTCCGTGGCATTTTCCTCTTCCCTGGAAACCACTCAGCTAAATTAAGAGGAAGAAAAGAGAAACAGAGTCTACATTCTTGGCCTTCTCCATTTTCTTAGAGGTTTCTAGTTATAAACAACAATCTTGGGCCAGGGATATAGTTCAGCCGTACAAGCGTCTGCCTGGCAAGTGCAAGGTCCTGAGTTCGATTCCTGGTACCAAAAACAAACAAACAAACAAACAACAATCTTAAGAAATGGTCAGTAATGCCTGGAATATAGCTCAGTGGCATAAGCACCTGCCTGGCAAGCGCAAGGTCCCTAGTTCAATTCCCGGTACAAAAAAAAAAAAAAAAAAGAATGAGTACAGTTTCCAGAAACTGAACGATCAGCTGCAGGTCAACAGTGCTGAGCTGAGAAAAGGATGGGACATCACTGTCCTGGGCTCATCCTGTGCGTCATGTTTTGTGTACTCTTTGAAAACAAGTATCTCCAACACTCCAAAGACTTCAAGGGTCTTGGGACTCAGCCTTCACAATGAAAGAGTTTGGGGAGAGATCGGACTTCTTAGAGAAGTGTGAAAAAGATGAGAGATATTTGCTTTCTTGGATCTTCACAGCTGGACATAATGAATTTTGTTTGTTGTCATATATTTTAATGTGTTTATTTAGTTGATAATGTTTGCTTGACATCATAGAAACAATGCTTTAGAAACACAGCCAGAGGTATTATGACCACAGTGTGTTAAAGTACAAAAAGCCTACCACAGAGCAGGTGCTCAATAAATTAAATAAATGGTTTACATCTCCTTGTATCTTCAATTTGTAGGATGCAGCTGTGACAGGGTCCTGGGAAAAAAAGTAGCCAGGATCAAACTGTGTAGGACTAAATTAAACACCTCATGGAGTCCATGACTTCTTACGTGGCAAAGAGATAAATACTTAATTTCTCAAAGTGCAGTTCTCTCGTTCTTACCCAGAACTCCTCCACATTCACTGCTCTCCTCACCCCTCAGTGGCACATGAGGGCTAGTGCTGAGCCCCCTGCTGGGAGCCTGCACCAGGAGCACAGGGAGTAAAGCACAGCAGTGGGCCTGGCCAGAGGGAGATGCTAACAGATGTGAATGAAGCTCCAACAGCGCCTACATTTCTGTCCCCTTCACCTGCTACCTGCATCTGCCTCCACATGCACTCCAGAAATGGGCACATTAAAGTATTCCCATTTCAAAGACCATTCGTTCATCAACGAATGAACAAACAGAGCAGGATTCCTGCCCACACCGTCTGCAGCTGCAACGTCCACTCAACCCCATCCACATGTTTTCACTATCTCAAATGCTCAGCCAATACACGGGGAAATTAATCTATGGGACCCACTTCCTCATGACCTTGTAAAGGGATCACTGCATCTCTGAGAATTCCTAAGCCACAATAGGATGGGCCAAAGGAATGTCAAGTTGACAGCCTCTAGGATCACATCCAGAATTTCGAGAGGTGTTAGCATTACACAGCAGTAATTCCCATATTTCCCCTGTCATGACACACAAAGAAAAGGATAACACGGGGACAGCCCTGCAGGGTAAACTGATGCAACTACTCAAGGCCAAGGCTACCCGGCCCCTCCAGGGACTGAGAGGTGTGAAGCGCTGCATACCTGGGATCTCGGGCCATACTGCAGACCCAGCTGCCAAAGCAATGCAGAGGTCAGACGATAAAGCATATTATCAGAGAAGTGGTAAACCACAGGGAACACCGCAAGTCTAACTGCAGGTGGGCGACGGAAGTGGGGGTTGTTATTCTAACACCAACTTTGGATACGTCCATTCAGCATCCTGAAGAGGCTGTGGATTAATTACACCCAGTTCTCATGGGTAGCAGCATAGAGGCTTCCCAAAAATCACCAAAGGAGAATTAGTTTGACAGTTTAATACAGCAAATCTATCACCACTACAAGAAAATTCTAAACTCCCCCTAAAAAGGAATGAATACATAAGATCTTCCCATATATGAAAGAAGATTATAACTTAGTTTTCTTTCTTTTTTGTCTTTTTAAGACAGGGTCTCCCTGTGCAGTTCAGGCTGGCCTCGAGCTCACTTTGTAGCCCAGGCTGGTGTCAAACTCGCAAGGATCCTCCTGCTTCAGCCTCCCGAGTGCTGGGATTACAGGCATGCACCACCATAACAGCCAGGTCCTACAGATGTGAGCCTTTTAGCGGTATTGCTACTTTTTAAAAGAAAAAGCAGGATATATCTAAAATCTTGACACTTTATTTGAACAAACACAGTACTTGATATCACATATATTTCAGTACCAATACAGCTTTTTCCTCCATCCTCTCTCCTCCGCTTTTACATTGCTTTCCTGCTCTCATTTGTTAATATTTTTATGTATCAAACAGGCTTGACTTTAAAAAAAACTAGTGCTTTAATTAGAGCAAAAAGCACAGAATTAACAGTCCATTAAAATGCACACGATTAAAAGTGAATGTATCTTTTATTTCACTGCATAAAATTTCAAATAAAATCTACCCAATTGCTATAGTTTTAAAAATTAAATCATTTTTTCATTCTGCCTTAGGAAAAAGTGTACTACATATTAACATAGTAGAAGGTAGTAAAAACAGAATTTGATTTAAAACATAATTCAGAAAACATATGTACCTGTTTTAATTAGCAACGTGTTGGTAACAGAAGCCAACAAGAATGGAAGACAAATATGTTTGCATGCAACATAAAGACAACAGAGAACTTTTTAACTTTTACTTGCAATGAATATAAACATATAAATACAAAAGCCTTTCTTTTATTTTTACTCCCAAATTTTCTCCTATATTCCGCAATAAAAATTTTTACTTTTCAAAAGTATATCATAGCTGTCAGTTCAAATCTCTCACTGCTTTCACATGTATTTTTCATCCTATGATCCACAGTTCAGGTAATAAAGGTGCATTTTTAAATGGAACAATGTATTGCTAACACCCCAGTTGCTTCAGTGTAACAGGAGAAGACTTAAGCTAATGCTGTATCATAGCAACCGCTGCATACATACTGTATTGCCCCGTGCTAGTCTGATATATGCTAGTTGGCACTGCCATGGTGGTGATGTTAGAGGGCCTTCCTCCTTCCTCTGACTTCTCTTCTTCAATCTTGGGAACGCCAGGCACATCAGAGGACAGTTCATTCAGTATTCTTCTAAAACATAATTTAACAATACAAGTAATTAAGGTGTATGAAGGAAACTCAAAACAAAAGAAAAGCTACACAGGGAACAGTTGCTTTGATCTATAATTATTCTACCTTTTTGAAAAAAAATATCATTCAGTAGGAAATATCATTAACTCACCTATAAGAGGGTCTTCGTGAAAGGACTTCTCTATGTTTATGAGAATCAATTACACCTTCTGAATCTGCAGACTCATCTGTCTCTGTAATTGTTGCTACCTGTAACACAAAAGTTTCTGAAAAGCATCATAAAGCACATGATCTTCTTCCTCACTGCAAATCTGGTGGCTCAGGTCGTAAGGTCTAGCATGGAGCCAGAGGCTGAGGCACAGCCTGGCAATAGGACACAGCGAACCTGCACTACGGAAGCTCGTGATCTGCCTCAGGACAGAAAGCACCGACTCAAACATTTAAGCGGTCAAGGAGAAAAGTGTGGTGAAGAATGATATAGATAATAAATACTGCAGAAATGCAATGGAAAAAGCAGTTCCATTGTCAAGTGAGGCTTCACAGGAAAGGATAGAACTTAAAATACATAAGGCCCCAAATCCCAAACTCGAGAGTGTGCCAATAAATCCAGCAGAGCAAGCGAACAAGGGGCACAGGCAGCAAAAATGATCTTATTTCACTGTTCTCCTTAGGACAACAGGG